TTCAGAGATGATTGCATATGCTGGTTCAAAATGGGTTTCATGAGACCAACAAAGAAAAGACTCTTGATATAACCAGCTAAGTTTACACACTCTTGTGGTCTTCCTTTTGATTTAACAAGCTTACAGGATCTTCTGTCCAAGGGGGATCCCGAACCATTGTGGAAGGATTGGAAAGACTTCGGTTTACTAGAGCACCATAAGACTGATGGATGACCTCTAGTAAGGTTTTTGCATGCATATAGGAATGTTTTTTGTTTTTTATGCTTTCTCTGAAATGCATTTGCCCTAAGAATAAATATGTTTTGCTTTGTGAAGGTTGGTTGGCAACTAGTGTATACTGTTGTAGTCCCTGGAGAAACTTAACCACGCGTGCTGAACCTTAGTGAGACCTGCTTGGGAAATCAGTGAGGCGTGGAAGGACTATTAGCCTAAAACCCCAGTCTGGAGGGAAAGAGGTATAGGTATCCAGTGAAGAGAGACGATGGCTAGGAGCTAGAAACCTTAAATGAATGCTCTCAAGGGACCACTCAGAGAATACTGGAACAGCTAGCCCTGAAACTCTGACACTTGCAGTATATCATTATTACGCTCTTGCATCCACTCTCCTTTCAATTCCAAGTTCAGTTTAATGGTTGGAATTTCATATACCACTAAGGAGTGATAAATATACTATTCAATCCAGATTTCCAGACCTAATGGCTCTCAAGATTACAGACTGCTAAAATCCTCTCAAGTGAGACAGGGAAAATGTGAATCCTAGCCTCAATCTCATCTGATTGACATGAATAGTAGTATTAACTACAGTAAAATCACTTACATATAAACAGATGTGAGCTTAAAGACAATGGATCCAAGCCTGATTTCACTTACAACAACAGTAGCTCCATTCAAGTCAATGAAGTTACATCTGTGTGAGATCAGCCTTGGGCCCATATAGAGGCAGAACAAACTGAGAACACGGAGAATTTGTATTCTTTATGCTAGGCTTGTCATTTCAAAATTGAGAGGAGAGGAAGCACATTTCCAACTCCACACAAAAGGTTCTTGAAACTTCTCTCTTATTCCCACATGGGAAGAAAGCAGCAGAGCTCAACACTATTAAAATCACCACCTCTGGCCAAATAGCAAATTACCATCACATATAGCTGTTTTAAATCTATAAGAGGCAGGGTGGATTTGATTTAAATCAAATTGATTTAAATAATTATTTAAATCACTAGTCAGGAAGACTATTTAATCATAGATTTCTACATAAAAGTGCATTCTTGTTGGTTGTTATAACCTTAATACATATTCTTCAAAACTCAGAGATAGATGTAGGTTTCATTTTTAGAAGGTACCCACTATACATTTTTAAAGTGATTTATTTTGAAAACTTTTCAGATTAGTTTTACAGCTATATCAGAAAATGAATGATGATTTGATTATTTCATTTACCAAAGGTAATTGAAGCAGATATGTATGAAGTCATTGGGAGGTGAACTATCTCCAATGCAACAGGTTAATCGTTAATATTTGGAGGGTTTTCTTGCCATGCTGTATTAGGAGGAGAACATCACCAAACAGACATTTAAATTATTTTATTTAACTAAAACAACAACATTATGTATTCTGAATTTTTTTCTTCAACAGCAAACATAATATTTTAACAAAACAAGCATATGAACTTTTGATTTTAAACATTCAAGTTTTTTAAAATCAGTTTGTTTTTGTTAACATTGTGTTAACTAAAATAGTTAAATGAAATTTAAAAAACAAAACAAAAATTAAATAGACTATGTCAGCCAGGTCAACATGAGAAACTTAAAATATTGGCTTCTGCAGCTAACTCAGTCATCTTCACCTTCAGTTTCTGTTTGTTCATAATCTGGAAAAGAAAAACAAGCTTTTCTGCTTTTTCAGGTCCCAAACGATTTCTCAATTTGGAATGAATTAGTCCAAAGGAAGAAAATATTCTTTCTACACCATCAGAAGTGAGATTATCACTTCAACAGTCTCTGAATCCAAGTGCTTAAGTGACTTCCACCAGTGAACTGGTGGGACTTTCTTTAAATCATCATCAGTAAACATATATTTCTTGAATGGTTCACCCTTAGCTCTGAAGTTTCTTATAGTTGGCATTATGGAGGGATGATTGCTGGATGTCCATGTCATAGCCAACTCTTCTTCTTCAGCAGTTAAGGTTTGACCCTGGTACCGAGTATTGAGAATATTTGCAAGAAAATGAGCTGGAGATGGTACTCGTCCCATTTGCTTTTTTAATGCTTGTAATTTATCTCTGTCATTGCACATTTCTCTTTTTAAGATCTCTCAGTTCCTTCCAAATTTCAACAGCGTCAGCAATAAAACAGCTATTTCCCTGCATTTTGTTCAAGGCTACAGAAATAGGCTTCAGGGTACTCAGCATGTGTTCAACATTTCTCTTAAGCCCAATGTTGAGAACTTTGGTTGGGACAGTGCCATCTATTTTTTCACAATTTTGTTCACAAACTGTCATCAGATTAGGCCAGTTCTCGATATAGTGCTCAAAACAGTCCACTACTGAGTTCCATCGCATGTCTTGTGGGAGAGTTAGCTTGGTTCCTCCCACTTTTTTCAGAGCAGCTGCTGCAAAGTGGTTGTTACGGAAGTATTTTGCAATTTCAACAACATTAGCCTTTATTTCTGGAACACTGAAGTCTTTGGCTAGGAGGTGCATCATATGAGCACTGCAACCATATGTTATTAGCTTGGGATGCTCTTCACTCCCTTCTAAATTTCTTCTCATCAGGGATACATTTGCAGCATTGTCTGTGACCAAGCTGCGTACAAGACATTTGAATTCCCCCCCACCCTGTTGTTATAGCTTTTACTGCTAGTTCTTGTAAATATTCTGCTGTGTGTGCATTTCCTGATGTATCAATTGTTTCTGTAAGGAAGACATTCCCTTCTTCTGTTGTCACACAAGCACATACAACAGGATCATTTTGGACATTGCTCCACCCATCAAGACTCAGGTTAACAATTTCACCCTCTAGACCTTTTGCACACTGCTCAATTTCTCTTTCATACACTTTATCCAGAAATTTGCCTGCGATATCTGCTCTGTTGAGTGGACTGTATCCTGGTCTTAATGACTGAACCATGTTAATAAAGTGTGGGCTCTCAATCATTCGGAAAGGAGAGTTTGTTGCATAAACAAACCAGGCAATTTTTTCATCAATTACCTCTTTTTGTAATCTGCTGGTTCTTATCACAAATCTCTCTCTGGTTGTTTCTGGATGGAGATTTTTTTTTCCTTTTTGCTACAGGTAATAATATACTGTGGCTATGTGACACACATGTGACTGAAACACTAATTGGCAGATAACTCTGAAACTATAGAAACTGATGGTGATCTTGAAGGTGGATAGTCTTCAGAATCTTGTCTGTTGAGGATGGATTCTCCTAAACAAAATAAGTCAATGCAGTTATTTAATTATTATTACCATATTGCTCATTTAATATTACTCATTGCATTCACTGACACTCAGTACCACTTTTAAAGATGAAATTGTAAAAAGGAAAATCTGCCTATTTTAGCTATTTTTTTATCACAACTGCATCTAAAATGATAGTACCACAGAATAACTATATTTTTTTCTGCAAACATGACAATTCAAGAATAGTCCAGAAGGAATACAGGCAGTCCTTAAGAAAGAAATATGAAATTAAAAAGTTTACCAACCTGAAGATCCTGCATATTCAGACATGTTCCTTTCATCATCTTCAATGCAGCTTCCTCCCGAGAAGGAACACTTCTCACTATGTTGTTTCATTTGGGCAACCAGGCCTTGCATTTCTTTGTTGCACTGTTTGCATTTTGCACACATGTGTTCTGACCCACAGGTAGAGGAACTTCATTAAAATATTCCCAAACTGGGTCTCTTTTACAGCCTGCTGCCATTATAGGTTTTCCCTTCTAGTAAGAGAATGGTATGGTAGATTTCAAATCAATGAAGGCTACACTCAGAAAGGCCTCAAGACTTCTGGAATATGCTGCTCAAACAGTTTCACTTTTGTTTCTACTGCCTGTCCCTCCCTTCTCACATTTATCTCCAGACTTCTGCTTGTCCAGGTCTATGCTGCCCCTAACAATCTTCTATTCATTGAACTTTCTGAAACTTTGCACTTTCAGAGAGAGGTAAGGGATTGATTCTGTATACACAGATTTGCAGAGGGACAATAGGGTTGAAGTCTGTTATTTCTCACCTCTGTTTATTTAAAAACATTTTTGCTGTTAACAAGCATGTTATCGCTGGAGAGAGAAATTCACAGTTTGAAAACTTCAAAACTAGGCATCTCTGATGGTATCTTCTAGACTGAGCACCGAGTCCCATTGGGTAGATAGAAAGATTAATCTAAATCTATACAGAAGCCCCTGGAACTGCATAAAATTGGGTCCCTAATCCATGAACTATTGGAACTCATTTACAAAACTTTTCTTAAACATTACATGAATATATTCTCATACTACAGAATTAATAATCCCTATTCCATGATGAGATCTCTTTAAGCTATAATGTATCTTTAGATAGATTTTTTTGTGAGGAAAAAGCATTTGATCAAAAAAATCCAATTTCATTGATTTTTATCCACCCTGATAAGACGTACTTCCTTAGTTATAAACAACGCTAAGGGAGGTCAGATTATGAGCCTAACCTACTTCAGGCTGAGAATCTACACCCCCCCCCCCCCGCCCAAAAAAATCCTATAGTATTAATTAAAAAACACTTAGGTGGGATTTAATTATGATATTTCACTCTAAAATTATTAGGCCTTTCCTTACACATCACCACTGTCAAGCTATAAATAGCTGTTACACCTGCACAGCTTCAAATCTAGGTTAGAATTGTGAGTCTTTGGTAAATATATGGATATCTACCTACTCTCCCTTCTTGCCCCCCGCCTACCCCCAGATTTGGGATGAATCAGCCACACAAGAGAAAACACACAGCTCCATTATTAGGAACCTGCAAATGGATGCTGGAAAATAGATTTTTATTTTAGTACATTATGTCTACCTTCAGTTATGGGTAGATCAGTTAATTGGTGAAAGGGGGTAGAATAGCAACCTTTTCACATCTTTGCTCTTGCTGTCATATGAAACAAGAATAGCTACAAGCAGTTGTATGTTTACAATATTACAGAAAATACTTTTAAAATTAAAAAGTATAAGGTGGCAACAAAAGGATACAAGATTTCTTTGATCTAAAAAAGGAAATGGTGTAAAATAATTGTACAACAGGTAAATTTACACACTAATTTTTTTAAAGGTTTTCATAGAACTTTTCAACTGAAAGAAAAATACATCTATCACATCAAGACACTTTTTTAAATTAAAAAAGCTACCTACATCACTTATGTAGTTTCAGAATTAATTCTTAATTTATAGACATCCTTCATTCTCTCAACTTAGCCACTTTCTCTCTCTACGTCAAACAAGTATTTTCATGTTTGACTATTTATCAAAGCTATCCTTCTGTTCCACTGAAGTGTCCTTTCAAGCATGGACAGTCTATGATGGAAAATTCATAGAAAAGGGAAACACATACATAACTTCTTTTATGTAAAAGAAAGTTAAAATGGTAGCATCTCTGCTAAAACAAAACAGGATTGAGATGGTAAAAAAATAAAATCAAGACAAAAGGAGCGCAATAGTTGTACCTATACATTAAGTGACATTAAAATGTTAAATACTGTACACAGTTTCAGCGCATGCCCAGAATTTGCCTGCTTTTTAGTTGATAATTTTTTTCCAGTTCGCACAATGCTTGAGCCCGCAGGTTAGCGGCATAAAGGCGTTTCTTCAGCTCAGAGCATTTTTCTTTTGGGAGAGGATAATTCTCCAAATCACTGGATATAGCATTCTCTTTACTTGCACCAAAGTGAACCTTCTTTCTTGCTGAAGAGGGAAGTAGCACTTCATCTTAAAGACAGAAACAGTGAAGAAAAGGGCTTTTGACTTTCATTGAATGAGTGTTCCTCAATATTAGTTTATTCATTCATATCAGTGCCAGTCACTTTGCAGAGGGGAACCTAAACTGGATCTAAGTTAACACATGTATTAAGTAGAGTAACTGCCAAACAGCTTTATTTGAATCAATAGAGTCAAATGCTGTTCATATGTAATTCACACTTTTGAGTTTCCAACTAATGCCATCCTTTGCCTCCCCACCCACCCAGCTTATTTAGGGGACAGTTATATAGGATACAAAAGCTCTGTTTAACATGACAGTGCTATAGGTTACTGGAGGTTGTAATTTTACTTAAGACCTAAGATAGAAAGGGCTGTAGAGACTTACTTTTGTTTGGTTTAGTCATCTCTTTACAACGAGCACACAAGAGGAGAGTACCTTTATTTTGCAGAAGAGCAAGGATACAGATAGCAGTGATACAATGAGTCAAAATAAAGGTGGAGGGTGCTGGATAGTGAAAGATGTTTAGTTTCCAAGTTCAGCACTCGATTATAGAAACTCTTGATGGCTTGAGTGTTGCAGTGAAGTATAGGATAAAACACCTACATAACCCAGAGGCCTGACCTATGTACTGACACTAGTTGAATCAGGCCTAGTCAATATTAATGTACTGAGAACACTTTACCTACCCCTCTATGCCACAACAAATGACATGCTATTTCAGAAAAAAAGTCACCGAGGAGTACTCAGTATCTTCTGAAAATGTAAGGGATGTTTTTCCCTGGTGTAGGTAAGCCATGTGTACCTGTACACATTTGTCTTTAAATGATAGCATAGCTTACAGACTTCCCGAGAACGAGGGCAGAGTTCACATTTGACCATTTTACACTAGCAGCAGTTTAGTTTTAATGCAGTGTTTCAAGAACTCAATTTTGCTCAGCCATGCTTCCATAATAAAGTCCCAGCTCTGTACAGTTTTTCAGAAAACTTGTTTGATTCTCAAACCACAGGGAGCGAGACGGTCTTAGTAAGCAACCTGCCTAAACATGATGGATTCTGCAGGGAGCCTCTGCCAGTGCAGAAGCCTAGTGGTAATCGCAACAATTGAATTTAGTTCTGAAAGAAAATACTAGTGGACTTAATAGGGGAAAAACCTCCTAGTTAGCATTTTTCTTAAAGTTAAAACCCATGCAAGTTAGTAGAGCTATAAGAGAACAGTGATTGATTTATCTGGTAGTGTGAGGTAACTGGAACAGAGTTTCAGTGTTACTCTGATTTTTCTGTGATTGATGTAAAACTAGGCCCTTTGTAAGAGTAATAAAGCTGAGCTTAGTGAGATAGGAAAGGTAGAGACCTGGGTGCTGCCTTCTAGCTAGGCCTGTTCTACAGCAAGCAAACTCTTTATAAGAGAAAGTTAAAAACCATGAAAGATGCAGAGGATATTAAATTAGGAATTGTCACATTATAGCATAACTAAGTAAACCTGAATGATTACAAAGAGGAGGATGGGGGCGGCAAGGGGCCAAAAGAGAAGCAGGACACCTCTTGCAGACTTCTTCCACAGTTATATCAGGAAAGGGAGAGCGTCAGAAAGTAGTAATATTGCAAGAGGCAAGGGATTAATAGGCAGACAATTAGACATTAAAACAATGCTATTTTTAGTGATTAAGCTGAAGCAGCATATGACAGCTAGAACCAGGATTGTAGAAGACTACTTCATGTGGAATGATGATGAGGTGGGCATTGGATCAATGTCTCCTATATCCCAAGTGAATATTCTAAAGAACTTGGCTAGGAGTTTGAGGGAGGTAATCCTCCTCCTGCCCCTTCCACGCCCCCAGCTATTTTCTGTAAGCTTGCTTATGGGGACCCAATCTGGAGAGCAAACAGACCACAGTTAGGTTTCAGAGTAACAGCAGTGTTAGTCTGTATTTGCAAAAAGGAGTACTTGTGGCACCTTAGAGACTAACCAATTTGAGCATAAGCTTTCGTGAGCTACAGATCACTTCATGGGATGCATACTGTGGAAAGTGTAGAAGATCTTTTTATATACACACAAAGCATGAAAATATACCTCCTCCCACCCCACTCTCCTGCTGGTAATAGCTTATCTAAAGTGATCACTCTCCTTACAATGTGTATGATAATCAAGGTGGGCCATTTCCAGCACAAATCCAGGGTTTAACAAGAACGTCGGGGGGAGTAGGAAAAAACAGGGGGAAATAGGCTTGAATAGAGACTGGGAGTGGCTAAGTCATTATGCAAGGTAACCTAAGTTAATTGTATCCAAGTTGCAAATGAATTCCAATTCAACAGTTTCTTGCTGGAGTCTGGATTTGAAGTTTTTTTGTTGTAATATAGCAACTTTCATGTCTGTAATCGCATGACCAGAGAGATTGAAGTGTTCTCCGACGGGTTTATGAATGTTCTAATTCTTGACATCTGATTTGTGTCCATTTATTCTTTTACGTAGAGACTGTCCAGTTTGACCAATGTACATGGCAGAGGGGCATTGCTGGCACATGATGGCATATATCACATTGGTGGATGTGCAGGTGAACGAGCCTCTGATAGCGTGGCTGATGTTATTAGGCCCTGTGATGGTGTCCCCTGAATAGATGTGGGCACAGTTGGCAATGGGCTTTGTTGCAAGGATAGGTTCCTGGGTTGGTGGTTCTGTTGTATGGTATGTGGTTGCTGGTGAGTATTTGCTTCAGGTTGGGGGGGCTGTCTGTAGCCAAGGACTGGCCTGTCTCCCAAGATTTGTGAGAGTGTTGGGTCATCCTTCAGGATAGGTTGTAGATCCTTAATAATGCGTTGGAGGCTGAAGGTGACGGCTAGTGGCGTTCTGTTATTTTCTTTCTTAGGCCTGTCCTGTAGTAGGTGACTTCTGGGAACTCTTCTGGCTCTATCAATCTGTTTCTTCACTTCCACAGGTGGGTATTGTAGTTGTAAGAATGCTTGAGAGGAGATCTTGTAGGTGTTTGTCTCTGTCTGAGGGGTTGGAGCAAATGCAGTTGTATCGCAGAGCTTGGCTGTAGCCGATGGATCGTGTGGTGTGGTCAGGGTGAAAGCTGGAGGCATGTAGGTAGGAATAGCGGTCAGTAGGTTTCCGGCATAGGGTGGTGTTTATGTGACCATTGTTTATTTGCACTGTAGTGTCCAGGAAGTGGATCTCTTGTGTGGACTGGACCAGGCTGAGGTTGATGGTGGGATGGAAATTGTTGAAATCATGGTGGAATTCCTCAAGGGCTTCTTTTCCATGAGTCCAGATGATGAAGATGTCATCAATATAGCACAAGTAGAGTAGGAGGGTTAGGGGACAAGAGCTGAGGAAGCGTTGTTCTAAGTCAGCCATAAAAATGTTGGCATACTGTGGGGCCATGCAGGTACCCATAGCAGTGCCACTGATCACTATGGATGTAGAAGCCCTCTACACCAACATTCCACACAAAGATGGACTACAAGCCGTCAAGAACACTATCCCCGATAATGTCACGGCTAACCTGGTGGCTGAACTTTGTGACTTTGTCCTTACCCATAACTATTTTACATTTGGGGACAATGTATACCTTCAGATCAGTGGTACTGCTATGGGTACCCGCATGGCCCCACAGTATGCCAACATTTTTATGGCTGACTTAGAACAGAGAGACTGAATAGAGACTGGGAGTGGCTAAGTCATTATGCAAGGTAATTTATTTCCCCTTGTTTTTTCCTCCCCCACGACGTTCTTGTTAAACCCTGGATTTGTGCTGGAAATGGCCCACCTTGATCATACACATTGTAAGGAGAGTGATCACTTTAGATAAGCTATTACCAGCAGGAGAGTGGGGTGGGAGGAGGTATTTTTTCATGGTGTGTCTGTGTATAAAAAGATCTTCTACACTTTCCACAGTATGCATCCAATTAAGTGATCTGTAGCTCACGAAAGCTTATGCTCAAATAAATTGGTTAGTCTCTAAGGTGCCACAAGTACTCCTTTTCTTTAGGCCATAGTTAGAGGATCAGGCCCTGCATAAGTGACTTAGGTGGAAGAATACCTATCTTTTCCTGGTTTGTGCACCACACACTGGGGCTTAGGCATCCAGGTACTTGGTATGCTGCTGCAAAGCACATGCCCAGAGACAGAACATAGGCACCTAGGGAACTTATGGCAAAAAATTTAGGTGCCTACAGAATGAAGGGGGAGCTTACAGGTCTCTGAACCACAACAGTGCCTGATTCAGAAAATTGATTTAGGTGCCTAAATTCCACAATCTAGCTTTAAGTTGTTATGCAAGGTATTGTACCATGTCTGTTTTTTAGATTGGATTTGGAAAATTACTGCTTTTTGTTCTAAATCAGCTGAGGTTTCTACCAAGTATAATTTGACTCATTTGGTTGCAAGTTCAGTGTATGTTAGACTATGTGAACTATGAGCCACCCTTAAGATCAGTGGAAAAAAGGTAGTGTAAATCTGCCTTTTCTTTTAAAGCCATCCATGAAGTGAAGGCTGAGTGGTCATAAGACATGCCTTATGTTTTATTGAAGACTAAAATTTTAAAGCTAGATCATAATTACATGGATCTGATTTCACAAGTTACTAATGTTCTGAAACCTAGAACTAGCTAGAGAAAGTAAATTCATACTAACACCCTTCCCTTATTTCTGATGTTCAGGTTCAATAAATATTGACAGCAGCAGATGTGATCTCCTTGTACAGCAGTTTTTCTTCATTCCATATGACACTTTAAAAAAAGTGGTCAAGTTTCTGTTCAAAACCATTACAGAAGTTTATGTAGTTTGTTTGGTAAGATGGGACTTTTCATGGCATGCAGAATGTCAAGGGCATCCTCATGGCTGTGCCAATCTGTGTTTACTAGTTCAAGTGGCTGTCTGTTTATTCTCATACCTGGGCTTTTTGCACCTGCCAATATCCTCTGTTCCTTGAATAGGTTGTAGTTTTTCATCAAGTTCTCAGCCCTGTTTTGAAATGAGATAAGTTAATAAACCATTTCTACAGCAAACAATCTTAAAGTTTAACCTAGGTTACACTGTAATACCTAGCAAGTTTATCTTCTGCCAGTCTCTCACGAACACATAGCTCCCGCTCCCTCTCTGGAAGTAAGCATATGAAGAAAGTTAACACAGATTTCTGGTGTTTTCCAAACAGGAGAGGCCTGGTCCCAAGACAGATTTTCATGTAGAAAAGCAGGTAATCACTGAAGTGTCAAGTCCCTAAATTTCTGCTTTGTTGCTCTAGGTAGCAAAGTAGTACATTGCTGCGTAGAGAGACAGGTTCTCTCAGCCCATGCTCTTCATGGGATATGGCAATGACTGGACACGAAGGAGTTTAAGTGATGCATAATGTTCTTCCATCATGGAATCCTCATACTGCTTTAAAATATCAATCATGCTCTGAGAGAGTCTTGTTTTCTAGTCTAATCATGCATGGCTGGCTGAAGCTATACTAGTGTTCAGTCCTGCCATTTTGCACAGACACTTTATTTTAGCTGTGCCATATGCAGAGCTTGATTTTCAAAATAGATGTTCCCATTGTGGCACAATATAAGTTAACTGCATGCAGCTAAAGATGGCAAGTACAACTCAAGTGTTATCCATTACATAAATCCAATTAGTTAAAGAACTGACCATATAGCTTCACTGCTATGAGCTCTATTGACAATTGCTGTTTTGTAACAGTTTTGGATATTCCTCCAATGGACAGTCTCCAAAGACACACACACCCCTTTTTAAGTTGTGCCACATCACAACCTCCAATAATTTTCATAGATTGTAGCTAACACTAATTGTGCATTTATACAGAGTAAGGATCCAAATCTGTTGGGCAACTGCATATTCACAGTATAGAGCCAGTACAGAGTAAAATGCTACCATTTTGATTTGGTAGCATTCCATGCATTTTACCCTGTATGGCTACACATTGTTCAGGACAGCAGATTCAGGCCCCACGTTCTGTAGGTTTTGGTAACCTTTGCTTGCTATGAACAGCCTTCTCCATCCCCCACAATCCCAACCTAGGTTTCTGCTCCTGGATTAGACCACCAGGTAAGGTTTAATTAAATTCAAAAGAGAAAATGGTAGTTTTAAAAATCTGACAGGCTGCATCTACAATCTGGACTACCCCCTCATAGGCTTTCAGACCAGTCTGATTAACCTCCCCACTCCCAGAATGGAATTTCATACGTTCCAGTTGTTGCTCTCTCTCTTTTATGGCTCGTTCTCTCTCCTGCAACTGTTGTTCCTTCAGTTTTAGCTCATTTACTGCAGTGCCTGAATGCTGCAGCCTTTCTGGCTCTGTTGACCTTCGTCCTCTCCTCTCAGAGAGGTTTCTCTGCTCTTCTACCACCAAGTCAGCTATCAAGGGATTCTGTAGAATTTCTTCAACAGAGGGTCGACAGTAGTCCTTAAAAGAAACAAGCCAAGGAAAGAGTGTGACAGTGTCAGTTTAAGAAGTTTAGGACACCAATTCCCTTCTTAATGGAGGAAAAGCTGTACAAGTTCCATCCTACAGCAAAATTAAAGCTCTGAAATGCTTTAAGTATCAGATTGAAGTATTAGTGAAAACAGCAGTCAATTCCTACCTTTAAATTCAGCATCTTTTTAAGAAGTTCATTCAACTGATCTGAATAACGATAGGGTATTCGTCTGAACTTCCCTTCTTTTATCTTCTCTGCCAACTCCTTTTGGTTATAAGCTGTAAATGGAGGCCTGAAGAAGAGATGTATTTTCTTAAAGGCTCTTTTCACTGTTTAACTGGAAAGGTGTTAAAGGGTTTTCATTGTGTTTGAGGAAAATCTCCATTTACCACTTCAATCAAGGTTCTTCTAGTGTCTAGAAGAGAGCTGGTTTTTGATTTTTAAAATATTTTGAAAACAACACAGTTTGTCGGATTAAGATTTTAGACAAACTTTGGTCTTCACCTGTTTATAGTTTAGTCACATACTATAACTGAAGTGTAAGTAGTCTCACATCATTTATCTTTATACTTACGAGAGTGCACATAGCTCGTATAGCAAGCATCCTAGAGACCAGATGTCTGATTTTTCGTTATATGACATGCGGTTCATTTGTTCCTAAGAAAGAGAAGCCTTTATTTAAAATGTGTTATCAGGAAGGTGTACAGCAATTCATTTACAATAATGCAGCAGAACCAAGTTCTCCATGAAGGATCAGCTAATAGTTGTGCAACCTACTAAATTATCACTGGTGAGTTTGCAGTTTAATTCACAATAGCTACTTCAAGCTAGTACAATTCAGAATATAGAAGATATTACAGCAATAACTGAGCTGGAGCAAAGCTTTATTCAAACTGCATCAGTTTTTTGATCAGTACAAATGCAAGACATTATACAGGGAAAACAAACTTCCATTAGAGTCTGCACATAGAGCACAGAAGCAAAAGAGAAGTAGTGAGCTTTGACATGACCTTGCAGGATTTTCACTCCCAAGTCTATGCGCCACAGAGGACGAGAACCCTTGTAGATCAATCATTTGAAGAAGGTAGAGTACCCTACTCCATCACTGCAGCACTACTATGCAGATGTGAGAAGACAAGAATCAAGTAAAAGTCAGTGCCAAGATACCAAGGCAGATACTTCAGAAATGTGACTTGCAGGGGGTAGACCTAACAAGACAAGGATGGTACTAACAAACAATACCTCGTAAGAGGTCTGTTCTCCCAGGGAGAAGAGCTGGAGCAGTAGCCATGATGGAGGTTCTTAAGAGCTTCACATCAACTGTAGTCAAGAACTAAGAATGCTGTCTTTGAAAGGATCTACTTAGGATGGTGAGCGATGACTAGTGCACAGGTCTAATTTGTGCTGGACTCAGGAACAGCAGCCTTCAAAAGTAAAATATCAGGAGGCAAGGGAGCTATTCCAGCCTCATTCTGAGAAAGAAATAGGAACAAGAATTCTACAGATGTTCTCTTTGAACACATGGATTTGAGAGAAAGGTGTTGTGGATTTATTAAGTATGCACAATAGTCTGATGGCAGTGGTCCTCAACTTGTTCTATACCACAAAAAGAACAGGAGTACTTGTGGCACCTTAGACTAACAAATTTATTAGAGCATAAGCTTTTGTGGGCTATAGTCCACTTCATCAGATGCACAGACTGGAACATATCACAAGATTACACACACACGGTGGAAGTTGCCATACAAACTGTAAGAGGTTAATTAATTATACCATGACTCCATGTAACTTCAAACAGTTTTGGAACTCCCTATCATTACCCTCCCTACACAGAGGGGAGACAGAGAGAACGAACACAGATCCTGAGCATATTTTCAACCCAGTTCAGATGGCGGGTAAGTCCACAACCCCCAGGTTGAGAACCCATCCTATAGCTAACACACCAGAAACAGTACAACACTTAATTTATGAAATTTTACAGTCCAAAAAACTTGATGCTTAAGTCATATCAAACCCGAAAGTCAGTCATATACAAGACCATTCTGATATATGATGCAGAATTGTTGCAGGCAAGTTCCCCCCTCCCTCCCCCAAACACAAGTTTTAAAGGTCTGTCCCTAGTTAAAAAGGAGTTGGCTACAGGAATTAAGATTTAGTTATAGGTTTCATTAACTAAAAACTTTTAAAGATGTTGAGGAATTCTGTTAAAAAGCCAGGTGTTGCAGAAGAAACCAGGATCTTGGAACACTTACTGGAGACATGTAATATGGAGTGCCAACAAATGTTTTAGCAAAACTGGTATCATGGTGCAATATCCTAGCCAATCCAAAGTCTCCAAGTTTCACATTGTGCTTGCTATCTAGAAAAATATTTGCTGGTTTTAGGTCACGGTGCAACACAGTGTGGCCACCATCACTCCGTCTATGACATTCTTTCAAGGCCAGGGTCAACTGAGTCAACATGCGGAGAACAAAGTCTTCCTCTAAGTAGTGTCTAGGAAAGGAGAAGAAGTTAATTTAGAGTAATATAGATCTTGTAAGGTTTCAGAGTAGCAGCTGCGTAAGGCTGTATCCACAAAAAGAAAAGGAGTACTAGTGGCACCTTCGAGACTAACAAATTTATTTGAGCATAAGCTTTCATGAGCTACAGCTCACTTCATCGGATGCATGCAGTGGAAAATACAGTGGGGAGATTTTATATACACAGAACATGAAACAATGGGTATTACCATACACACTGTAACCAGAGTGATGGTGAAAGCTTAGGCTCAAATAAATTTGTTAGTCTCTAATGTACCACAAGTACTCCTTTTCTTTTTATAGGACTTGTAAATACAGTAAATAGAGAAAGTATACAAGTCACCCTCTAATTAACTATTTGTTCCCATCTTAGGGTTTTGTACTACCACCCATGGCAATAGTATCCTAACATCTACCATGCAAAGCAAATAGCAGTAACACAGAGGGCTAGATCCACAAAGTAATGCGAGTATTGCAACAGTGCTAACTTTTATGTACATTCCCATCCAGTGGAATCCACAACCTCAAGTTAGGCACCTAGGCTCCCACTGCATGGAGAGAGTTAGATACCCAAGAATAGGATTTACAAAAAAAAGCCAGCACACTGGGCAGAGATAGCATTACCTGTTGGAACTGCTTAAGCTGAGGAGAGGGGTGAGTCTTAATCCACACTCCTCAAAGGGATTTAGGTGTCTAACTCTATCCAAGAGGGAAATGTCCATCTCTGCTTGGGATTCTCAGCAGTGAGCTCTCTTCTGGAGTTTTTTTTTTTTTTTTAAAAAACACACACCCAAGAAATGCCAGGGAAAGGGGAGTGAACTTCCCTTATAGTATTTAGCCCACTCGTTAGAGCATTCACCTGGGATGTGGGAGACCTTGCATTATGTGAAGAGGAAGTTTGAACTCCCACCTCTCAGGTGAGTGTCCAAACCACTGGGCTATGCTGGTGTGAGTTGCTCTCTCTCCTATTGAAGCAGTCCACCGTATATAAACAATTAAATATTCATTGGGCCAGAGAGAATGACTAGTCCAGTGGTTAGGGCACTCCCCTGAGAGGTGGGAAACCCAAGTTCAAATCCCTTCTCCACATCAGGCAGAGGGGGAATTGAACCCAAATCTCATCCCTGGGTTAATGGAGGCCACCTCTCAACTATGGTGTGGGAGTTTAAGCAACCTCAGAGCACACCTATGAATTAGGTGCTGCCGACAAGATATGCAGGGCAATGCTTCAGGGCTTGGCACTTAAACACTGGTCTTATACCTTAGAACAATACAACTGTGAGCATGCTGACTGGCAGAAAAACTTAGATGTCTTGGGGCTTTAAGCAGCAGCTGAATAGGGGTTTTGAAGACCTCAGTAGCACCAAAATATTGGCCTTGGGGATTAAACTCAGAGCAACTAGTGGACTTCATGATATTTGGGCACCTTTTGGGAATTAAAAATGCCACACAGTGTACAGGGATTTTGTTTTAAGGCATTAATTTCCCTTTTTTTTTTTAGTGGTATATACTGGACACAAGAGAATCAGTGTTGATAGCCATTCTTATGATGGAAAGGCCTTTTCAAAGATGACAGTTGGGCAGCATTTCCCATAGAGGGTCAGACTCTGGGGTCACCTAATCCCATATGGAAGTGGGCCCCACAGCCATCCCATTTTTGGATCAGAAAATCCATTCTTTTCTCCCCCCTTTGTAAGTATCACACAGCAAAACCTAGAAGATAATTGGCCCAGAGCATTGTTATGTAGAACAATTCAAGTGATTTATCTCAAAGGCTCAATTTGTGATTTTAGTTTTGCATCCTGGGACATTTAACAGACAGCATGGAGGAGCTGTCAAGGTCATCCACTCTAAAGTGCTCTGGGACTTGTATGGTTAGAGCCAAGTCAGACAAAATTATATTAGAATGCTGTTTGAGCTGAAGCAGTAAGTTCTGTTAGGATAGTTTCACCACTTCTCTTATAGATAGTTCTCACATCTAGGGGCAAGTGGACTCAAGAGAAAAAAATTAAAGCACATTCTAAAACCCACAAGACAGGAAAGGGGCTTTGAGGCAGGTTTAATATATTTGAACTTGCTTTTAAGACAGTTTACCAAATTTCTTCTTAGTTTTACTTTAAATCCCTGCAATAGTGACTATTCCAGTGTGCGTGTGGTACCTCAGTTTTTCTGTATTTTATCAACAGAAGTCAGTTTAACACAACTTCTACTAAATTATACCTTTTAAAAAAGTATACCTTCTTATACTTTAAGGAGAGACTTGAGAGTATTTGTAAGTCTGAGGTGATTAAATGTATCAAACCCAAGTTTCTAATGGATTACAAAGAGACGCATTTTGATTTAGCTTAATTCTGGTAAATGCTCCGGTTATTTAGATGGGAGAGCATGAGATCCCCATAAACAGATTTCACATGCCTTTCCTTTGTACATCTTGCAATTAGACTAGCCAGGTCACCTCCTTCACAATACTCCATCACGATGTACAGGGTTGTGTTAGTTCTGTCAATGATGCGATCATAATACCGGACAATGTTTGGGTGTTTCAGCTCCCGGAGTAAATTCACTTCCGAAACAAGCATTTGTTTCTCGGCTTCGGTCATAGAGCCATAGTCAAGCTCTTTCCAAACTAAGACCTGAAAGACAGTGCACACCGCGACTAGCGGACAAAACACGAATGCTCCCACTAGGGCAGCTGGTCAAGCCGAGACACAAGCTAACTGTCCAGCTAGCAGCGCTTGACGAGCCGGCGGAGACGAACACGGGGCGGCCCCTGTCCCAGGCCGGCCGAGCGACGGGCAGCTTCACATTGCAGAGCAGCCGCCCCGACTCACCTCCCACGAGCCGACCCGTGGGGTGCTAAGTGTCCCCGCTCCAGCGGATCCGCCTCACCCCTAACCCACGGGGGGCCAGCAGCGAGCCCCCGAACCCGCAGGGGCCGAGCTCGGGGAGCGCAGCCCCAGCCAGCCCTCCAGAGCCCGCCCGTGGGGGAAGCGCCGCTGCCGGGCGCCGCCAGAGGCAGCAGGGGGCTGGCCCGCCGTCAGACAGCGACCAGCCGGAGCCGCCGACGAGGCGAGATAACCGCCCCGGGCAGCAGAGAGGTGCGGGGCCATCGGAGCCCGCAGCGCCGGGGCCCGCGCGCGGCCCCAGACCGCTCACCTTGCCGTCCGCCCGGCGCCGCACCTTCTGGCACTTGCCGTAGGAGCCGGCGCCGATGGTGAGCAGCACCTCGTAGTCCTCGGGCCGGCTCGGCATGGCGCCGCGACACGTTGAAGCGCAGCCAACAGAACAGCGACTACGCAGCTACCTGTCGCCGTCGTTTAAACGCGCCGCCCCCGCCGCCCATTGGCCCGGCGCCGCAGCCCCACCTGCCCTCCCATTGGCTACTCTCCTGTAAACAATGCACGCCGCGTAACGGCCGTTACCACTGCTAGGCAACCAGGGCGGCGCGAGGCGTGGCGCGACGCCAGGAGGGATCCGAAGACTTAGCTCCACCCCCTTTTCGCGTCTCTCCGCGGGCATCGCCCCCTCCTCTTCGGGGCAGGCGGACAAGGCCCATCCACGGAGTGTAGGGCAGGAACCTGCTCCCTGGAGCAATGTGCTGCCTGTAGCAGTTACTGATGCGTTACCGATTGTAGAAAACTGCTGCCTGATGAAGCAAATTCCTACAGATAGCAGTTTGTCCCCTGCACTCTTGTAGTGTCCCCGGCACTCATGGCAGAACTAAGTATTATCTAAACAATCCCTGACAGGTGTTTGTCTAACCTGCTCTTAAAAATCGCCAATGATGGAGATTCCACAACCTCCCTAGGCAATTTACTCTGGTGATTCGCAGGGGTATTGCATAGAATCATAGAATATCAGGGTTGGTAGGGACCTCAGAAGGTCATCTAGTCCAACCCCCTGCTCAAAGCAGGACCAATCCCCAACTAAATCGTCCCAGCCAGGGCTTTGTCAAGCCTGACTTTAAAAACTTCTAAAGAAGGAGATTCCACCACCTCCCTAAGTAACGCATGCCAGTGTTTCACCACCCTCCTAGTGAAAAAGTTTTTTCTAATATCCAACCTAAACCTCCCCCACTGCAACTTGAGACCATTACTCCTTGTTCTGTCATCTACTACCACTGAGAACAGTCTAGATCCATCCTCTTTGGAACCCCTTTTCAGGTAGTTGAAAGCAGCTATCAAATCCCCTCTCATTCTTCTCTTCCGCAGACTAAACAATCCCAGTTCCCTCAGCCTCTCCTCATAAGTCATGTGTTCCAGGCCCCTAATCATTTTTGTGGCCCTCCGCTGGACTCTTTCCAATTTTTCCACATCCTTCTTCTAGTCTGGGGCTCAAAACTGGACACAGTACTCCAGATGCGGCCTCACCAATGTCAAATAGAGGGGAACGATCATGTCCCTCGATCTGCTGGCAATGCCCCTACGTATACATCCCAAAATGCCATTGGCCTTCTTGGCAACAACAGCGCATTGTTGACTCATATCCAGCTTCTCGTCCACTGTAATCCCTAGGTCCTTTTCTGCAGAACTGCTGCCGAGCCATTCTGTCCCTAGTCTGTAGCGGTGCATGGGGTTCTTCCATCCTAAGTGCAGGACTCTGCACTTGTCCTTGTTGAACCTCATCAGATTTCTTTTGGCCCAATCCTCTAATTTGTCTAGGTCCCTCTGTATCCTATCCCTACCTTCCAGCGTATCTACCTCTCCTCCCAGTTTAGTGTCATCTGCAAACTTGCTGAGGGTGCAATCCACACCATCCTCCAGATCATTTATGAAGATATTGAACAAAACCGGCCCAAGGACCAACCCTTGGGGCACTCCACTTGATACCGGCTGCCAACTAGACATGGAGCCATTGATCACTACCCGCTGAGCCCGACAATCTGGCCAACTTTCTATCCACGGTATCGTCCATTCGTCCAGCCCATACTTCTTTAACTTGCTGGCAAGAATACTGTGGGAAACCGTGTCAAAAGCTTTGCTAAAGTCAAGGAACAACACGTCCACCGCTTTCCCCCTCATCCACAGAGCCAGTTATCTCGTCATAGAAGGCAATTAGATTAGTCAGGCATGACTTGCCCTTGGTGAATCCATGCTGACTGTTCCTGATCACTTTCCTCTCCTCTAAGTGCTTCAGTATTGATTCCTTGAGGACCTGCTCCATGATTTTTCCAGGGACTGAGGTGAGGCTGACTGGCCTGTAGTTCCCAGGATCCTCCTTCTTCCCTTTTTTAAAGATGGGCACTACATTAGCCTTTTTCCAGTCGTCCGGGACTTCCCCGGATCGCCATGAGTTTTCAAAGATAATGGCCAATGGCTCTGCAATCACATCCGCCAACTCCTTTAGCACTCTCGGATGCAGCGCATCCAGCCCCATGGACTTGTGCTCGTCCAGCTTTTCTAAATAGTCCCGAACCACTTCTTTCTCCACAGAGGGCTGGTCACCTCCTCCCCATGCTGTGCATGCAAACACATCGGGATGGTTTGTCCCTGTAACCTCAATAAAGATTCTTTAAAATACAGCCAGCTCTCCTGGACTCCTTTCCCCCTCATGTTATTCTCCCGGGGGATCCTGCCCATTAGTTCCCTGAGGGAGTCAAAGTCTGCTTTTCTGAAGTCTCAGGTCTGTATTCTGCTGCTCTCCTTTCTTCCCTGTGTCAGGATCCTGAACTCAACCATCTCATGGTCACTGCCTCCCAGGTTCCCATCCACTTTAGCTTCCCCTACTAATTCTTCCCGGTTTGTGAGCAGCAGGTCAAGAAGAGCTCTGCCCCTAGTTGGTTCCTCCAGCACTTGTACCAGGAAATTGTCTCCTACCCTTTCCAAAAACTTCTTGGATTGTCTGTGCACCGCTGTATTGCTCTCCCAGCAGATATCAGGAAAATTAAAGTCACCCATGAGAATCAGGGTCTGCGATCTAGTAACTTCCGTGAGTTGCCGGAAGAAAGCCTCGTCCACTTCATCCCCCTGGTCCGGTGGTCTATAGCAGACTCCCACCACGACATCACCCTTGTTGCTCACACTTCTAAACTTAATCCAGAGACACTCAGGTTTTCCTGCAGTTTCATACTTGAGCTCTGAGCAGTCATACTGCTCTCTTACATACAATGCAACTCTCCCACCTTTTCTGCCCTGCCTGTCCTTCCTGAACAGTTTATATCCATCCATGACAGTACTCCAGTGATGTGAGTTATCCCACCAAGTCTCTGTTATTCCAATCACATCATAATTCCTTGACTGTGCCAGGACTTCCAGTTCTCCCTGCTTGTTTCCCAGGCTTCTTGCATTTGTGTATAGCCACTTGAGATAACTCGCTGATCGTCCCTCCTAATGTCCAACCTAAAGCTCCCTTGCTGCTATTTAAGCCCATTGCTTCTTGTCCTATCCTCAGACGTTAAGAACAATTTTTCTTCCTACTCCTTCTAACAACCTTTTATGTACTTGAAAACTGTTACCGTGTTTAACCTTCCCTCACAGGTCATGATTTCTAGACCTTTAATCATTTTTGTTGCTCGTCTCCAGACCTTCTTTAATTTGTCCACATCTTTCCTGAAATGTGGCCCCCAGAACTGGACACAATACTCCAGTTGAGGCCTAATCAGCATGGAGTAGAGCAGAAGACTTACTTCTTGTGTCTTGCTTACAACACTCCTGCTAATACATTCCAGAATGATGTTTGCTTTTTTTGCAGCAGAGTTATACTGTTGACTCATACTTGGCTTGTGATCCACTATAACCCCCAGATTCCTTTCTGCAGTACTCCTTTCTAGGAAGTCATTTCCTATTTTGTATGTGTGCAACTGATTGTTCCTTCCTAAGTGGAATACTTTGCATTTGTCTTTATTGAATTTCATCCTACTTACTTCAGATAATTTCTCCAGTTTGTCCAGATCATTTTGAATTTTAATCCTATCCTCCAAACCACTTGCAACCCCTCCCAGCTTGGTATCGTCCGCAAACTTTATAAGTGTACTGTCTATGCCATTATCTAAATCATTGATGAAGATATTGAACAGAACCGGACCCAGAACAGATCCCTGTGGGACCCCTCTTGTTATGCCCTTCCAGCATGACTGTGGAGTGATAACTACTCTCTGGGGATGGTTTTCCAATCACTTTTGCACCCACTTTATTGTAGCTCCATCTAGGTTGCATTTCCCTAGTTTGTTTATGAGAAGGTCATGCGAGACAGTATCAAAAACTTTACTAAAGTCAAGATATACCACATCTACCACTTTCCCCACATCCACAAGGCTTGTTACCCTGTCAAAGAAAGCTATCAGGTTGGTTTGACACTATTTGTTCTTGAAAAATCCATGCTGACTGTTATTCATCACCTTATTTTCTTCTAGATGTTTACAATCTGATTGCTTAATTATTTGCTCCATTATCTTTCTGGGTACAAAAGTTAAGCTGACTGGTCTGTAATTTCCCGGGTTGTCCTTATTTCCATTTTTGTAGATTGGCACTATAATTGCCCTTTTCCAGTCTTCTGGAATCTCTCCCATCTTCCATGACTTTTTAAAGATAATTGCTAATGGCCCAGATATCTCCTCAGTCAGCTCCTTAAGTATCCTAGGATGCATTTCGTCAGACCCTGGTGACGTGAAGACATCTAATTTGTCTAAATAATTTTTAACTTGTTCTTTTCCTATTTTTGCCTCTAATCCTACCTCATTTTTACTGGCATGCACTACATTAGACATCCAATCACCACCAACTGAAATGAAGAAGTCATTAAGCACCCCTGCCATTTCCACATTTTCTGTTATTGTTTTCCCCCCGACCCCCTCATTGCGTAAGAGGCCTACCCTGTCCTTGGTCTTCCTCTTGCTTCTAATGTATTTGTAGAATGTTTTCTTGTTACCCTTTATGTCTCTAGCTAGTTTGATCTCGTTTTGTGCCTTGGCCTTTCTAATTTTGTCCCTACATACCTGTGTTATTTGTTTATAGTCATCCTTGTAACTTGACCTAGTTTCCACTTTTTGTAGGACTCTTCTTTGATATTCAGATCACTGAAGATCTCATGGTTAAGTCAGGGTGGGCTCTTGCCATACTTCCTATCTTTCATATGCAGTGGGATAGTTTGCTCTTGCACCCTTAACAATGTCTCTTTGAAAAACTACCAACTGTCTTCAATTGTTTTTCCCCTTAGACTTGCTTCCCCTGGGACCTTACCTACCAACTCCCTAAGTTTGCTGAAGTCTGCCTTCTTGAAATCCATTATCTTTATTTTGCTGTTCTCCCTCCTACCATTCCTCAGAATCACAAACTCTATCATTTTATGATCACTTCCAGCAAAGCTGCTTTACACTTTCAAATTCTCAACCAGTTCCTCCCTATTTGTCAAAATG